GTCCGTGTGAAGCCTACACCCGCAGCGTTGCCAAACGCTACAGGTGTGGTCATTGACTTCGATCGAAAGATTTGTTGTTGTTACTCGTCCAATACGAAAAGAAAGTATCGGGCGGCTACGAATTTTCCTCCCCCACCTCGAAGAGTTGAATTTTGACGGCGAGCATGAGCGTCGAGTATATCCGTAACATCACTTTCACGGCTCCTGGCGGCTACGTGGGCGAGCGGGCATGCTCGATCCGAGCAAACCGAACAAGGTTAACGCGGACGGGCAAGGTTAACGTTAATTCGCTCCGCGTCTACGTTTCGGAGTACCGCAAGAGTGGTATTTCTCGTGGTTATCGCTGGCAAACTTCAAATCCGTGTCAACGGGCGCGTGTATGTTGTACACCAATAGATTATTGTAATCTCTCGTTGTGATTCGTTTCGGGAAAGTAGAATATATCGTCTTATCGAGTATACGACTGAATCACCTGGCTCTCCCTTAGGAAGTAGAAGATCATCCACTTCCGATTTTCGAAGAAAATAACTCCAATCAATCTTATCCGTGAAATTGAGAATACGACTCTAATTACGATAACATATCCCCTTATCTCTTGCATTCGTAATGTTATCGGTAATTTGCATTTCCCACGTGTCACAGCCTCGTACGTTTCAACAGCATTATCACGCGTGCAGTTTTCGGGTACTGAGATTCGCGATCGATTCGAGCGATCAACTGGATGAACAAGCAATCTCCATGAAGCGAACGAGGTTAACGCGGAAGAACAAGGTTAATATAGGTGACGCCAGATGCGTTGTAGCGACTCGTAGCCTAGTCTTATCAGTTGAAACGAGTCGGCTACCGAGTTGCTTATCAATTCACGGTTGGAAACAGAAGTTCCCAGTGAGCTTGCACCGACTCCGCGTTTACCGGAAACGGAAACGATACGTCGCGCGATTCCAGGTCTCGTTCGTTTGCGTTTAATTGCGATGATAACGACGATGACGATCGCCGCGATCGCGGATAGATGCGAGCGTAAAAGTGACATAATTACACGTAACATAACGT